CCACAGCAGAACGGAAATCTGCCCTGACCATGGTTTGCCCTGGAACCAGCGTCTACATGGGGATTACCACTTCCTGATCTGTAAATATCCCGCTGATGTGAAATCTTACCAATGCCAGCGTCCGCAGTAGATGAGGTGTATTCTCACCGCGTGATGTGTGTTAACCCCGGGACAAGTAGTTTCCATCTTGTTTTCCATTATCCCCTATATAACCCCAATATACTACAGTAATTTCCATCTTATTTTCCATTATCCCCTATATAACCCCAATATACTATAGTAGTTTCCATCTTGTTTTCTATTATCCCCTATAATTTTCGATTATCCCCTATTCTACTATAGAAATGGTGATGCACTGGCCATGGCCAGGAGCCATTTGAAGTGTGCGTTCTTTAGGGTAGTTCAGGGTTAGAGGGTTGCAGTCCCCCTTAAGTAGATAGAATATGGCTTTGGGTATACTATAATCAGATCCCCATCTACCCCATATTCTATCTACTTCAGGGGGACTATATACTGTTGAAGAAAGGCCTTCCGGACTAGTCCTCTTTCTTTCCTGGCACTGAGGTCTTCACCACTTTCAGAAGATGAGCCATGACTACGAGGTGCATTGAGCTGACGGCCGCAGTGCTTTAGACTTCGGACTTCACTCTCCAAGAGGCTTTTGAACAGCTGTTCAAGAACCACACGCTGTCATCACCCCTTGAGGCAGAAGATTCTTGCGCGCATGCGCCCTGGATTGGTTTCAACCAGCTTTCATGATGTTGCACAGGATGCCATCCGCGTCTACTTGTGCGACCTCTGACAGAGTTGCAAGCGCATACAAGCGCATCCGGAGGATGCTCGTGCTTTGTTGCATCGGCCTAGCCAGATGCCTGCAGAGGTACCAGTCGGTGCTCCGCTCGAGTTTCTTCAATAACAAGGATCTTCCTTGCACGACTGCGCGAAGAGTGCCCCGCAACCCATGCAACGAAGGGCTTGATAACAGGAGCATAGCTACATCCTGGCAGTCCGCGGCTCAGTGGTAGTGGAAAGATCCATGGTCACCAAGGGAAAGTGCGCTCTGACCACTTGCCAATTTGCCAGGTTGTTCGCGTCCTTGAAGACAAGGCCTTCCTACCTGGTGACTACGTGGTCCGCGTGGGCGAGGTGCAAAGCGAGGATTCGTCCACAAATGTCGGCACTTCGGTTTTGGATGTTTTGTCAGGTTGCTGACGAGATGTACTTCATCAGCAAGGGAATAGTGTCTGTGCTGGTCGCAAACGGCAAGCCGGGAGCCTACCATTTGATTTTAGCCTTGAAATGTCAGCTTTGCTGATTGTTCTCCATGCCCAGGTCCAAAGAAGTTGAGGATGCCATTAAGCTGCCTATGAGGCGCATGAGCACATTGCAGTAGTGCAGAAGTGTCACATGTCCGCAGAAGAGAAGTTCAAGTAGCCAGCTAAGGAAGAAGGAGGGAGACCATTTTGGTGAAGTGGCATTGATCAAGGTGCTCGCATGTTGATGTGGGAGCGGTCAAGCATCTCCCCAAACCTGCTAGGGAAGTCTACGGACCGCTTGGATCAAGGCAGAGACTTATGTTGTGGCGTCGGGAGCTTGGCTAAAGCGTCCAAGCGTTCCCACTTTGAGCCTTTGGCTTCAGCTATTTGTTCGATGTTCCCAGGTCTTGCCTGCGGCGATCTAGCATTGAGCAGATCTGGAAGCTGGCTTCTCTGCAATCGCTGTGTTTGTGGTGCACACTGGCATGTGCTGCCGCACTAAGGTACTTTCCGCATGAGCGTGAGTCTCTTCAACGTCAAGTACTCCAGACGGCTGGAGCCTCATGGAGCCTCTGATGAAAAGCAGCCCAGAAAGCTTTGAGGTCATGCGTGACGCGGCACGGCAGGCTACAAGCATTCGGCAGAGCGTTGGAGGACGCAGCCTTGCCTGCTAACGAATTCCCTCTGATGCATGTGCACATCAGGAGCTGCGACAGAGACTTCCGTGCCATCCACAGGCACCTGAGCAAGCAAGCCTGCCTTGCCATCTGATGGTGGTCTTGGCAGGGCTTGGTGCCGCGCCTGCCAGCGCCACGGAAGAACCACAGGCCCACCTGGCACAGCCTGTGGCAAGCACACAAGTACAACGGATACATGAAGAAATTGTTGCTAGGCACCGCCGGACGCAGGCCTTTCCCAACGCCTGTCACCCGGAGCTGTATTGGTCCAGGACTTGATTCATTGATGTGGTTCCCAACAGGCATTGAGAGGCTGTGTGAGTCCTTGCAAGCCACGCAGACGGAAATACTGAGCCGATTGGAGGCCTGAAGCGGGAAGTTACTACGCTGTCAACACAACAAGCACAACTAAGTAATACACTTGCCTTGTGAGCAAGTGTGCGTTGTATGCAGCTTGTCAGGATTTGGAGCTGCGAATTGAGGGCAAGTTGGATGGGAAGGCTGTTTGTGGGCTTGATGTCAAGTGGGGTTGTCAAAGAGATCGCAAGGCTGCCAAAAAGTCAAAGACACAGGAGGGTGATCCTCCAGAAGTGGAGGTTGTGTGACTTTGCGGCAAGTGCACGCCACACGGGAAAACCACAGTTGTTGAGGCTGCGGCACCAAAAAAAGCTGCCAAAGCAGTCGCAAAGAAAAAAACCATCAGGCGCGCTTTGAACAGTGGTACTTTCCCAAAATAAAGGGACCATACTTAAGGCCCCAAAATACTAGAGTCCTTTGTATGGGGAGCCCCAGAAGGGTACCCCTAATTTTGGGAATTTCTACTGTGGCTGTCCAGTTCACCAACTGAGCTGTAGTCTAAACTCCGTTAAGGGGGTTATAGGGGATTATACATGGATCCCATTATAGGGCTTACTAAGGGGGACCCTAAACCCTAAACCCCACTAGGAGTTTAGACTATAGCTCAACTGGCCTTGGCAAAGTCGCCAGATCTGAACAGCCCGTGGCTCCGGTCGATCTTCCAGGCTGGCCTGCGCATGGCCTATAGAACCCCAATACAACCCCTACAGTACGTAGGGTTTAGGATTTGGGGTTTATGTAGTAGTTTCCATTTTCTTTTCCATTGTCCCTATATTGGATCAATCTAGAGTCAACAATCTATACCCTCTAATCTCTACGTATAATCCCTACATAACCCCTATAATCCCCGTAGTTTCCATTTTATTTTCCATTATCCCTGCATTTTATCTATCCAGAGTCAGCATGTTTGCGGAAGCAGCGCAGGGCACGGTCAAGGCCAAGCTTCTGCCAGTGAAATTGGAAGGCCGGCAAGTAGCGATGTGTTGGAACATAGATCTAATACATCTGTATACATTGGGGTTATGTAGGTATGAATATGTATATATCTATATATATATATATACATATACGTATATACGTATATACATACATATGAGGGATAATGGAAAGAACATGGAAACTACTAAATTAACTCAAGCAATGAGCGGCAAAAATCAGGGCGCTTCTGGATCGGTGAGCGGATGCCCTTACCGAGCCGGGCGAGTTCAGCACTTCGAAGCAGTCAAATACCATTTTGATTGTGTCGGGTATGTTGGGTGGACTTGGCCAAGCCAGTCCCCTGCATGGCTGGAGACAAATTGTTTGGCATAGAAAGTAAGGGCGGGCTACGCCTTTTTCTAGCTGCTAGTCCATATCCAGAGAGCAATATCTGAGCCACTATGCTAACTCAGCTTCAAGGGAATCGGAGGGGACTGCAGCTTTTTTACAAATGCACCTCACATCAAGCAGGCCTTTCTCAGACTGTGCGAAGCACATGCCTGTTTTAGGCTGCGCCTCCTAGCTAGGTTAGAGAGACGGCAACCGAGTTGACAAGTCTTGCGGGGTTTGCTACATGAAGCTGTTGCCCCACTCTAGGCGGTTGTCTTGCTACATGTCAATGAGCAGAGCAGGCAAAACATGGCCTGTGGCAGGTCCTGATACTCCTTGGACCATTCGTGGACTCTGGCAACACGAAGGCCGGCAACACGGCAGTGCCTTGTGCTCAGCCATTTGCTGCGTGGCCGTCCTCCTCTCAGGTTGTCTCTGGCGAGGCATGCCTTCCGGGCAGCAAGGACAAGAAATGAGAAATGCCGTGCTAGCGCTGTTCAGGGGCTGAGGCGCATAGGCGAAAGGCACAGGGCAGGTTTTGAGCTTGCCCTACAATGCAACCCTGCAAGGAGCCAGCCTGCCTGGAGGAGGTGCAATTAGAAGCATAGCGGCATAGCATTTCAGAAGTGCTGCAAAGTGTCATCCATCCAGTGTGCTGTATGCGCTGACCCTAAACCTGTATGCTCCTCGTGCAGGTCTACGTCCACTTGTTGGCTGAGCTACGGAAGGGCTTGGAGCCGCTGCGAAGCGCCAAGCCAGCAACGCAGGCAACTAGAGCAAGCGACGGGCAGGGAACTAGGGTTCAAGGTTGAGGGTTTAGGGTCCCAGCTCTTCAATGATAAGACTAGACCCTTCCCCACAGTAACAGGCAATGAAGCGGTGGACTTCCGCATAACACCTCCGGAGCTTGTTTCAATTATTCTCTGGGTTTTCTGTACACACTGCGAGGGACCCTCTCACGCAAGCTCCTCAAAGGGTTGCTGAGGACGCAATGTTTGAGCCTGTTTTCCTCGATAAAAGTTAGTGGGCAAATCAGGTTTCAGAATCAGCCTGTCTATCTTCATCATCAGAGCAGCCAAGTATGTGAGTCTCCCTGACTAAGCCTTCAGCCTTTTAAAGTAAGCTCCGGGCATCTAGTCAAAAATGAGTTAACAGCTATGTAGAATCACTTGTACATCAACCAGAATCTAGTTCTCATCATTGAAGAGCCAAGCAAATTCAAAAAGCCTTCCTACTGGTTTTAGGGTCTGGAAAGATTTGGCAAATCTAGGGGGCCTTTGCTTGCAAATGGCTATTAACCACCCCAAAAAAACAAGCACAGCACAGCTTCTTTGAGTCTAGATGTTGTGTTGCTGTTGAGCTCGCACAAATCATGTCTGGATTGTCATATGAAGATGTCAACTAATGGAATTGCAGGTATTCATCGTGCCTTCACTGGAGGAGGCCTCTAGTTTTAGAGGCTGTCAGAGTGCTGCAGCTGGCTTCTTCAATCTTGGAGAGGCTGTCAACTTTCACCCGTTGCCGCAGCCACCCATGGACATTGTGTCACATCCCCAATGTCATATGCCCTTGAGATCCCTTGAGCTAAGATGCTTCTCGCGTCTTAGGCTTGCAGAGTGGCTGGACCAAGAAACAGATTTGCTGCCTTTGCTGCAGATGGGGGACCTGCCGGCATGGAATGCAACGACATTCACTTGCATCCTGATGCATGCTTTGCAGATGTGGCTTCTCATTTCTTTTTGCCAGGTGCGGTTCGTGTCGAACCCTGCGCACATTGAGATCAATGGCATCAAGGCACAGCATGCCAGAGCATGATCAAAGAGGGACACACAAAGAGAAACAAGGGGCGGCTTGCGTGCATCGAGGTCAGTGCAACCTCTGCAGATGCAATCAGTCCTCTACTCCGTGAAATGGTACTGCGACCAGAAGGTCGAAAAATCGAGGAGGCACACGGCCCGGCAGAGGGGGAATCACTGTCACAATCAGCTGCATGCTGCGTGTTGCCAGGCGCTACTCCTCCTCCTGAAGCAGAGATGCTTGTTCCCAGTTGTGCCCCGCGACCCGCCGCAGGTGCACCGCTCAAAATCATGTCAGATCTTTGGTGTTCCTTTCGGGGCCGAGCCAGGTGTACGAGGCAAAAGCGCAGGCTCTGGACTTTCCGTGGGATGGCCCACCACACGTCTGTATCTTTCCGTCTCCAGTGGCCGTGATGAATGGGCTTCTCGGTTGCAAGAAGCATGTACCAAAACTCCTGCTTGTAGCGTAGTGCACTGCGGAGTCGATGCCCTGTCATTGACTGTCGACGGCTTGTCAATTGCGGCGAGTGAGCACCATTTCCCATAGCTTGAGGAGCGTGATTGAGAACACGCTCTTCGTGAACCCGGGGCCCTTGTGCCGACAGGCCGGGCCCAGCCTTGAGAATGACACGGCAAACACGTTTGGTTAAAATCCTCTGCTTGACATGCGCATTGTTCGCGATTATTCACGTAAACGGCTGCTTTTCATTTGAATTACGGCATTGGAGCGTTTAGATGACACAGTTTTGCTTGATGTTAGCAGAGCTGCTTGCTTTGGGATCCATGGCTTGCCGTCAACCACGCTGAGGCTGCCCCGGGCACCTTTGCCGAGCTTCGGATCTCCTCTGGCAGTGCCACAGCTAAGTTTGTGCGTGTGGGTAAGGAGGTTGTTTGTGATCTGCGAGGTTAGGAGGAACAACTTTTCGGCATACGAGATTAGCAGGTCAACAAGGACTGAGTCATTGAAAGCACTTGTAAAGCAACCAGTCAGCATGAAGGCTTCTCTGCTCAAGCAGCTCACCACACCTAGTCGTAAGCTGCGTTGTGCAGAAACTTGCATCCAGACAAGTCAGTGGCAGAGCAGGCAATGACATCAATGACTAAGCCTCATGAAGCTTGATGTGTGAGTATGATGTTTATGGTTCTACGATGATGTTTGCTGTCACCCTTGTCGACTGAAGCCGTGCCGATCTCCAAAGGACCTGTCTTGCTACCAAGTGTTGTGCAGCTATAATGGGATGAATGGGGGGCTCTAGTACAGAACAGGAACAGCACGGTGATTGGTGTCATGCGACCTGCTTTTTGTGTGAGACTTATCTATCTGCAGTATATCGTGCAACATCTGACAACATTGCCGAATTTCACTGGTCGGAATCAGCAAAGTTGAGCTAGGGCAATTTGCTGCAGTCACGTCTTATGGCTTATGGGCAGGGATGTATCGAGCAAAATCCTTGCTTTGCTGATTAAATCCGGGCAACTGAGCGTGGAGACTCGGCAAGAGCGCGTGTTGGCGGGCGACAGCGCCCGGCAAAGCAAAATAGGCTCTGCCGTCTCAAAACCAAACGGGCTTGTTACACTCAGCTTGGATGATCTGTGCAATGGCTGTGGCTGGCTGGAGCTAGCTTCTTGTTTGGTGTCAGCCACAGAAGCGCTCTCCCTCTCCTCTCCCTCGCTTAAGAGGAAGGGTTGTCAGAAAATGGTTGCAGGCCACGGGTTCTGCCTAAAGTCTTCAGACAGGCAGCTACCAGTCAATCTTATGAATTCGTCATCTAGCTCTCCAATGTCACTGATAAGCCGGCTGCAGATCCGGTTTTCGAGATGAGGTGCTTCGCTGAAAAGCCGTGTGCAGCTGGACCTGAAAAAGTCGTGGGCCCGGTCCGTGCCGAAGACATTCCTTAATGTGCACGGCTCTTAAGAGCATCTGGCTTTTGCAATAGTATGCAGTCATCCAGCGCACGAAAGGATGTCTGCAGACGTGCTTGCATTGAAGCTGTTGCCCGGCAGGTTGCCATGATCAAGACGGACGTGGAATGTTGAGCGAACATCATGACCTTCGTGACCTTTGCTTCCAGCAGCATGGTTTCAAGCCACAGAAAGCAACCACAGCTTGGCACAGCCTTTAGCACTTAAGACACATGGTGGGGGCACTCTCAAAAGAGAGTTGCAGTGCGGGAGGGGGCTGCCCGTAGCGAGATGTGGGGACCAGATGCGTAAAAGGGGCTTTCGAAATGCTTGAGCCGACTGCAGTTGTCAACTTGGTCAACTGCAGTAACTGGCTGCAGAGATCTGGGTGTTACAGTAGATTTCTGCAAAAGCACATGTTGGCGTTCATGAGCGGTCATGGATGGAGCAACCACAAAAACAATGGGGTCAAGGCAAGCTTAATATACTTGTCATCAGAAGGTTTGAAATAAGCCTTTTCTGGCTTCACGAGAGCTCAATAGAGGCAAAACAGTCTGAAACAATTCTCTGACATGCTGAAGTGTGTGAAATGTCTGAGATACCGGCTAACGTGTTCGTAATGGGTTCGTTCGTTTGTCCATTGACCAGACTTGCAGTCGCGGCATTTGTGGCATCAAAGCAAAGTCTTCGAGGTGAGTAGGATCTTGGACCCAGTCCACCAACAGCTCCACCTTTTGTAAAACCTTACTTTGCGCTAAGATATTGACATACGCTTGCGCGACCGTGTTTATGTTTTGCATCGCAGCGTTTGGCTTCAAAGGCAGGCATGGAAGGTTTTTTGGAGGGCTCATGGCGTGTTGAAACTCTAGCTGGCTTAACAGCAGCCAGTGGTAGCTACATCTCATTGCTGCAAGTCCAAGTGGTGCATGGCCGCCAGACCACACCCGCTACATGCATCACCTTCCTCACACACAGACCAAGCAGACCATGCACTCTTGAAGCTGTCTATCTTTTTGGATCTGCTGAGTACTTTCAATTCTAAAGATGGGCCGCGCGCTGACGACGACACCGCCCCCACGCAGAAGGCCGGTTTCCTTCTGCGCCATGGTCCTTGCAGACAGTGGATTTCACTGGCAGCCTCGCCTTAGGCTCCGGCTCATCAAGGATGTGGGTCAGTGCAAGGATACCGTCGCCCGATGCTTCCAACAGCTGGAACAACACAAGCTCCGACGCTTGCACAGCCCCAGGCAACTCCAGAGAAGGTCGCACGGCCCAACAGGTGCCTTCTTGCTGTGATGGCGGCAGTTTTCATGTTGCAAAGCTGCATTGCGGTACGTTGCGCATAGTGTGGCTCAAGAAAGCATGCTGCGCTCGGATTGCTGATTTCTCTACCAGTCGATCTGCCCAATTCTCAGCTGCCACAGTTCTTCACAACAGATGACAACATTCATGTATTCGGAGTTGCCATTTTGGATCTGGACCAATTCTGAAGCTGAGCGCTCGGGCAAGTGGCACTGAGCCTGAGCAACCTTGCACCCGAGAAATGTGAAGTAAGATTAGCATTCATGTATGTCTGGACACAGATTGACGCTGTCCTGGTTCTAAGCTTTTCCAGGGTACGAAGTTTTCTTTCTATCGCAGCTTCGGCTTGAAGAGCACAAGACTTATGTAAGAGCACGAAGCAGAGCATTGCCAGAATTTGTTCAGAGTTGCCAGGTCTCTTGTACTGTGCTGAAAGTTGGGTCAGCCATGTTTGAGTAGAAGATTTCAATGTCGGAGGCAAGGCCAGGAAGCCCGGACCAGGGCTCCGTATGCCTCCAGTTTTCTGACGGCCGATTCTTGCGTCAGGTTCTGCTTGAGGCACAGCGGAATGGCAGTGATCCAAGCAGCCTCTCAAAGCTGGAAGGAATGGGCTTTGGCCCTGAGATTGCGAAAGTTGCTCTGCATGTTGCTGCCGGCGATGAGTGCAAAGCCCTTCAACTCTGCATGTCTGGCCTTTCCTTCGTGGATCCAGAAACTGCCTTGGAAAATTATGCACCTCCGGCTCCTCTGAGGTGTTACATCTGTGGTCAGAAATATTTGACCCTGAAGTCCTTAGAGATGCACCTTCGAGCATGCAAGCGCCGCTTCGAACTGCAGGAGTCCAAGCGACAATCACAAGAACGGTGTCAGCTGCTTGAGGAGTGGGAGCTTCCTGACGGCGTGAGTTGCCTTCAGAAGCACTGCAACACTGTCCGAAGTCTGGGGATGCCCCAAACCATTGCGACAACGTTCGAGGATTGGGTTGAAACCCGACAGCCTGCAGCCGATCCCTCGAAACTCTTGCCCTGCGAGTTCTGCAAGCGAACCTTCCTGCCTAGCCGGTTGGAAACTCACCAAAGAGTGTGTCTGCAGCGTCCCAAGCAGGAACCAAAGCGGCCTGTCAGGAGACAAACCATGCCCGCCAGACCCCCACCGGCTGCCAGCAATGCATTCAACGCCTTCTGCAATCAGCTGCAAAGGTGTGCAACCTGTCAGCGACAATTCAAACCCGAGGTGCTGGCTGCGCACCAAAAACGATGCGCCAGTCAGGGTGCGACAGCGCCTCCAAGACGTGCAAGAGCGGCTTCCCCACTTCAAGCCGACCGGAGCCGTTCCGGGCAGTCCTCGATGTCCGCGCACTCTTTCACGCCACCCAGCCGGACTTCACCAGGCTCACCTGGCTCACCTGGCTCAGGTTCGTCGCCGCCCCAGACGGGAAACAGGGCAATCAGGGCAGCCTCGTTTCGCCTGAAGTGGTCCCCGGAAGCCCTCCTTCCGGGGAACTCTGCGGGGAACCCTGCGGGCAACTCTGCGGGAAGCTCGTGGCTCTTGGATTTAGGCCTGATTTCAGCAGCATCCTCAGAAGATGAAGCGAGGATCGCTGGACAACTCCGAGATCGGATTCCCGGCCTTCGCATATCTGGCATCTATGCTGCCACCCTGGTCCAGCAGAGTGTCTATGATGCCTTGAAAACCACTCTGAGCCAGGGAGGCCAGGTTCCAGAAGAGCGAGATCTCTGGCACGGAACTTCATGGAGCTTCGTGCCCAAAATCCTCAAGCAGGGTTTCAACAGGAGCTTCGCTGGCCGGCACGGCACCTTGCTGGGACATGCTACCTACTTCTCATCCGATCCGCGATACTCCTTGCGGTTCTGTGACAGGGGAGGTGGGGAGCTAGGGATCAAGGCGCTAATTCTGTCCAAAGTTTTGGTTGGACAATACTGCAAGGGCTCCCCAACTGACGTGGAGCCTCCAGTGTGCAACAGTGACGGAGACAGATACGACACGACCGTCGACTCAGTCGACTCTCCATCGATCTTTGCGGTCTTCAGAGACTTTCAGGCAGTCCCCCTGTTCTTGGTTGAGGTTTTGTGTGACTAGTCCAATTCTCATCTCTGCCGTTGCCGAATCTTTAAGATCTTTAAGTTGGCCAGGAGCGTGCAGAAGACACGTTCCGGCTATGCGGGCCGTTTTCGAAGTTACGTAAACGTTGGAATTTCTCGCCCCTGTTTCATGTCTGCAAATGAACCGTTTAGATTTAATGCCTCTTACCTTACGGTTTCACTGGGTCGCTTGCGTAGAGCAGATTGCCAAGGTGCAGCTGCCGAGTGGCCAAAAGAAGAAAAGGAGCCATTCTTTGTGAGTCCCAGTGCTGCAGCGTCTGAGTACATGATTGTCCGTATCTGTGCCAGGCGTATAGTTCTATATAGTTTCGTTGAATCCTCACCCTGCCACTGACCTGCTGGCTGGCTCAAATCCCAAAGGATCCTTGTGGTCCTTGCCCTCGTGGGGTTGGCCCCTTGCGGCCTGTAACCTTGACAAGGGGCCGGGGGCCTTTGCGTGAGGGAGTGCCAGTTGTCAACTGTTTGGACCATGATGCAACACTGGCAGCTCGCAGGTAGAGGCAGCAATGGCGGTGTCACGGAGGTGCAAAACTATAAAAAGAAGCTCTGACTTGCTATGCTCCAAGTTCGGAAGGCCACCGCCACCGAGCTGCCCCCCACCACCTGCACCTCCCGACGTGTCTGCTCGGGCAAAAGAGGCTCGCACGTGAGAACAGGTTGATCATAAGTTGAAGTGTACAGTCCCTGCGCACCAGGCCCTAGCAGCAGCGGCTGCACGTCATAATCATTTTTCTCTGGAGTCAAACGTGCCGCGCGCGTTTGACAGGCCGGAGATTCTGGTATATAGATGTTCCAGGGTTTCCGCGTGGCTGCGCAGGATGAGCCGAGAGCGTTTTGAGAAAGAATCGGAGGCGCGGGTTAGTGGAAGTCTTAGATTTTTCTGCACGTGAGTGGCAAGATGAGGAGCAGGGACGGAAAGGCAATGAGATGTCACAGAAGATTGCAGAGGCAGGTCTGAAATCAGGTCTGCAGGATGCCTTGTGAAGCCCTGTTACCAGGTTATGGCGGCTGCTCGTCAGCGCAGAGCCTGTGAGCTCTACAGCAGCAAGAGGATGCAAGAGGATTGAGATGGATTGTGGTGTCCTCCATGGTGTCCTCCATGGTGCCTGAATGGGGTTGTCCCTCTTGTAGAAGGTTTGTCACGGGTTCAGGTCGGCCAGAAGGTAAGGCAGGATCTTTGCAAGAGGACAACTTACGTGATGTGTAGAGTCAGCTGTCGGCTCGGGTCGGCTCGCAAATGAATCAAGTGGTGCTGCAGTCCACACTGCAATCTAGCAGACTGAGGCCACTGAGTCCGCGCCAGTTTCCCAGAGAGGTGGATCATGGCAGCTGGCAAGGTACTTCAAGCAGGCTTCATCTGCTGCACATGCTAGCATTGCCGCATCAAACGTGGTGACAAGTGATGGATAGTGGAGAGAGTAGTGATCTTCAACCAAGAGACGAATCCCCAATATAACCCTACCCCAATGTTACTCCAATATAATCTCAATATTACCCTAACCCTAGACCCCAATATAACCCTAATATAACCTCAATGCAAGATGAGGTGAAGAGCTGAAGCAACGAGCTGAGCAGGCGTGATTCTTCCAGGGGTCTGTAACCACATGCAGACACGCTCTCAAGAGCAAGATCAGGTCATGCATGCTCTAAAGTCCTGTACGACTGTGATTGTGGCACTCTAAGAAGTTTCGTAAAATGACCTTTTGCGGAATGTAGTTTTATGTCAAGGGTCCGACTCCGAACCAAGATGACAGCACAAACAGAGTGTGTTCTGCCTGACGATTCCGTGGCGAAGGCGTGGCGCGAATTTCTCAGTCAAGACTTGGTTGGCCAGGCCTTAAAGGCTGCAAAGTATCGTGGCGCGTCGCCACAAACACGAAAGAGGCCTGGGCCAGGTCCGTTCTTAAGCGCCGCATAGTTTTCCTGAGCCTGTGCAGGTATGAAGTTGAACAAGCCTTCGGGGATCGAGCGACCAAAGCTCTCTCAGAGGCTGATGACGGTGAGAGGATGTGCTCTGACCATAGACGTTATATAACCCCAATGTTATGGTAGTTTCCATGTTCTTTTCCATTACCCCAATATAACCCCAACATATACCCTACACTCCCTATATACAACCCCTACATGTGTTGACCATATAATCCCTTTATATACCCTATATAATCCCTGTAGTTTCCATTTTCTTTTCCATTCCCCCTACATAACCCTATAATACCCTATATACTATAGTAGTTTCCGATCCCTACATGTGTTCATGAGAGGCACTTGCAAGACAATCCGGGGATCCTGCAGCTGAACGCGTGCCTGCGGGACCTCTGCAAGGAGGCCCTGGATTGGAGCAAATCACTGGGTTGCTGTTAAGGAACTTAAATTAAGTTACCATATTGGGGAAACCCTATTATTTGCTATATATACTCATTATGGTAACTTAATTAAAGTTCTTTAACAGCAACCCAGAATCATGTTGCCCTGAGGAGCCCAGGCTGAAGATGAAGGAATATGGGAGGCCGGATACCACATGCCCGAGGCTCCTGACTCATGCTGAGTCTCATGTTTCCAGTCTGTTTTGGTTCTCAAACTTATTTGCCGCGGCGACAGGATTCTGGGATGTGGGTTGAGGCTCGGATTTTATGGGCGAACAAGCTTGCAGTTCGAGCGCTGCACTGCGCTTTCGTTGCTGGTCCCCCGTGAGCTTTGACTTCAGGGGTTATATAGGGGTTATATAGGGGATATCAATTGGGGTTATATGGGGATAATGGAAAAATGAAATGGAAACTACTATGTTATGTAGAACATTGTCTTCAGGAGCATTATGCAGATCCTGAGTTCGGACTTTGGATGGAGGCGATGGAGGTGCAGGGAGGGCCTAGTGAACAGCCTTGCCTGTAGACATTCACTACTTCACAATGTTCTACATAATATAGTAGTTTCCATTCTATTTTCCATTATCCCCATATAACCCCAATATATCCCAAATATAACCCCTATATTTGACCACTTGTTGGGACTCTTTCGTTTGCAGGGTGGATATGGTTTGGACCCGGAGTCCGAGATGCATCCAGAGGAGCGGTCTTTTCAGAGCAATTTAGTAGTTTCCCTAAATAGGGAGACCCAAAAGATAGACCCCAAAATACTACAATCCTTATTATAGGAACCCCCAAAATGGCAGGGGTAATTTGGGAAACCCTAAACCCTAAACCCTAAACCCTAAATAGTAGTTTCCCTTTGATTTTCCATTATCCCAACATAACCCCAATATATACCATAGGAAGCCCCAAAATGGTACCCCTAATGTTGGGAAACTTCCATGTAGTGCGTTCAAGATCCGAATGAGCCCTTAGGAGTGCTACGACTCGGTCAGCTGGCTACAGGATGGTCTGGGCTTATTGGGGTTGCTGTTAAGGAACTAAGTTACCATATTATCCCCTATAATGGAGAATCAAATGGAAAATAAAATGGAAAATGACATGGAAACTGAGGGAATATTGGGATTTAAGGAACTTAGATTAAGTTACCATAATGGGTATATATAGCAAATAATAGGGTTTCCCCAATATGGTGACTTAATTTAAGTTCCTTAACAGCAACCCAGTTTATGTTTTGTCAGTGGTCGGCTGCCTTTGCTTCCTCGACCTTCTACTTGCATGAGTATTGCCTCTCCCACGCGCGACTTGGAATGGTAGGATGCTTCTGCGAGCGGCGGGCCCAGCTGAGCCTGTTCATGAGCATGAGTTACAGAATCAGACGTTGACTCTGGTGATATCCATATCGTTGATGTAATGTCAGTTCGTGGAAGTAGTGCAACCCAAATGTAGTTGCCTGCTGGGGTATGAGGGCTTCCCCAAGCTTGCACGGAGGCTATGCTGGTTGGCCGATGGTGCTAAGCTCAGATTGCCCACTTTACGAGTCCGCGCGATGGCTCCAGCCACGGCCAGGAGGGATCATCCGAACACTGCACAGGTCGGGCCCTGATCTTGATCTGTGTCCCTTCGCTTTGCTGGAGACCAAGAGCCATCGTTGATATGCGAGGCCCGGCCTCCATGGGCGCCATGAACAGTTTGAGCAGCGGTGCGAACCATTCTCAGCGCAGATCTTGGGCTGATTCTTCATCCAACTTCAAGTCTCCCCTGTGCTCCATTTCAACTTGCAATTGAAGCTGGAGGTGGGCATCCAAGCGAAATGCCGGCCATCCGCGGACAGAGGACCTTCGCTGCTGTCTGACGGTCAGCTCTTCTATTGACCGCAAAATTCCTCTGATCATGGCTCATTGGTGTTGGGCCAACAGGAGTCCGAAGTGCGTGCATGGGCAGAGGCGGGATGGCTAGGTCCTCTAGGTGAGGTTGGTGGAAGGTGCTGCCAGGAAGTGAAAGACCGAGCTTGGACAGAAGAAGCATATAGCATACCTACAAGCATCCGCAACCAAAGTTGTGCAGCTCTGCCAAGTCATGTCATGGTCATGCTGTGCAGACGACAACTGCTGCCTCAAGCAATCGTTCCGTGGCTTCAGCCGCTGACTCTAACTCCGCCAGCTGGCAAGCACTGGAGGGTGAGCATCTTCCGTTTGCTAAAGTTGCTAGAGCTTGGACAGCATACATAAAGCAGACGGCTGAGGAGAACGGACAAGTTCACGAAGATGCAGATGATGATGCAGACGAGCTGCTGCAGCCTGAGATCACACTCTGGTCTTCTGCCTGCGCAGCACGCGCACCTCTATGGCGCTCACCCACAGTTGGCACTATGTGAAGCTGTTTTGTCTAGATCTCTGAATTTTAAAGAGCGTTGCTGTTCAGCTTACATTCCAGTTGCAGTATTTCATGGCTCTGTCTTCAGCGAGGCTGGCCAGCTGCTTCAGGTCTGTCACTGGGGCGACGTGAGGGTTGCAGACTTACGCTCTCTTCGCATAGCTTGTTCGAACTGCCAAAGAACCCCACAGCATCTCACAGCGGTTGACTCCAATCCGAGGAGTTGCTGCTGTGATGGCTTGTGCATGAACGTGCCAACCCCACCGCCTTCTTTTGCAGGGTAAGTAAGAGCTTGGCAAGCAGTACATGGGTATATTCCGCATCGGCAATGTGTCGAAGACTTAGGTGAGCTCTTCCAAGCTGAAAGGGCATGCGCCTATTTGACAAGATGTGTCAAGAATGTCAAAAGAGTCTGCCAGCACCCTGGCGTAAGCACAGGGCCACATTTGCCCCACCACGTTTTTTAGTGGGCGGCAGCGTTCTGAATCGGAAGCAACATGCCAGCGCGTGCACAGCTTCCGTTCCTGGAACAACTGAGTCATACTAGGCACCGATAATCTTAGACCCTTGGACTCGACTTCCTCCAGCACACAAGCCAGCCTCGTTAAATCCTCGTTAAATGCGGAACCTACCGGCCATAATCAACAGTTCTACTGCACTCTACTACTAATCTTGTCCTGAAAGAACTGCCAAAGGCCAGCTTTTGTTGACCGCGCCGCAAAGCCATGCAAAAGAACCACACTACCGTTTTCTTCACAATGCAGATGTGGAACCTCCGCGGCATCCAAATATCATTTTAATAGCAACAGAGGAAGGGTTTCTCAATGGGTTTGCATTCTTGCACCTTGTACTGTACGTACGTGTATGTTTTTCAAGAGCGCTGCCAGCCCAAGTATCGAAATTTGCTCTGCACAGCTGTAATGGCTGGAGTCCATACCCATGAAGAATGACTATGGCATTATGGGTGCGACAGTCTGGAAAGACTTGCAATCCTCTGAAGCAATTGAGACTCCATCTTTGCAGCAATGCCAGCCAAAGTGCTCAGATGTGAGAAGCCACAATCGGAACTCTCGAAGGTGCGGATCGGCAGGTCCGCAAGATAGGCCTAGAAAGACATTTAGGGTTTCCCAAAATTAGGGGTACCTGTTTGGGGGTCCCCATAATAAAGGATTACAGTAATTTGGGGTCTATATTGGGGTCCCCCCTAGTTTGGGAAACTTCCATTTAGTTTTTGGTGCCATGTGCTCCGATTGGTGCTAGTAGCTGCCTCCGGATCTCTGCCATAGCACCAGTTGACTCGATGCCCTAGCACACCTGCAGACCCGTCCTAGCTGGCCGACCGCTGGATGGTTCGCAGGAAGCCTGGGCAGGCGTGGCTTTGCGAGTTTGTGCATCCTAGCATCCTGGCATCTAGCTCACACAGTTATCGCTTGAGAGAACAGCACATCCGGCAGGCAATCGCTCCCACAGGCAGGTGACTGGATTGCTCGGAAGGCCATCAGGCCGGAAAACTGACAGAGCTGCATGCCAGAAACAGCATTGAATGTCGATGTTGCTCACCTTTTTCGCAGCAACATGCGCATTGAGCACATGCCTTGTCTGGATCTTTCATCATCATGCGTTATGTACTTCTAGAAAGTGTCGAACATGGGCAAGCCCTCCACAAAAAGCACACATCACGCTTTGCAGGTCGGCCTGCTTCAATCAACAGCGCGAGCTGTGTGAGTTGACGAACAGCTGTTCATAGAAGCTACCTTGACTTCTCACGCGACTGGGTCATGTGATAGTGGCCCAGCGCGCACACGTTCATTTGGCATGCTTTTGTGGGTTGCAAGTGACGGGGGCAGATTTGAATCTTCTACCATGCTTCAAAAGCGAGAGGTCAAGCCCTCCAATCTTCCAAGAGCAAGAGGAAGATGGAACGCAATCCCAGCTTGCCAGAGCTGAGCGCTCTTGTTGTTCGCTCCAAGTTCTTTTAACCTTCACGTTGCCGGAGCGATGGACTCCAGTCTTCGCTGTTCGTGCTAATCAGCTGTATATATGTGGTCGGCGTCACCATGTCTGCAATGTTGGCTGTGCCAGTAGATGCTACATTTTCCAACGCGGTAGTTAATGTCCAGCCATTTCTTCGGACTTTGTGGCGCCGATGCGCGAGCTTCGAATGCCATGATTGTATATGTATCCGCTGAAATGGCACCAGAGGGCAAACGCCTCGTTGTCTCAGCATCAATTTTACAAATGCAAAGAGAAGAAAGTCTTTGTGCTCCGGTATCTGGCTGGGCTTCAGCCTTCCAAGCGGAGGAAGGCTCAAAGCAGCTGTCCACAGTCCACAGTTGGCCAAATACCACGACGTGATGACTTGCTGGAGCCTCCAAGTGAATCCATCCAAATGATCTGAAGACCAGCTTTACAATCCTCTAAAGCTCAAGTCAAGTCCTCCCGGTCGAGCACTGAATGCGCTTTAAAGGTGCCCTGGGGGAGCGCTGACCACAAAGCCTTTTGCAAGGGCGCGCTTCTTCGCAGCCCATGTCATCTGGGTGCGGTAGGAGCTGGTGCGAGGTTTCCGAGAGTGGGGTGACCCTACGGATTGCTTTAAGGCAGTCGGCAGTCAGATCTTGAAGCGCGACTTGGAGATGGGGAGCCCTGATGCAAACATTGTGAAACCTCAGAAGCCAAAGCCTGGGCCAACTGAAGCACGGTGGCCCGCGTAATGCAGCACTGTGCCCTTTGCACAGCAAACGCACATGCTGTAACAAGAATCTCAGAGAAAACTGAAAAAGGCATTCGGGTGCCGAAGATGCATGTTCATGCCTGGGAGGACTCATGTAATTACGTGGCCTTTTGGAATTGTTGAGTGCGCAGGCAGCACGGTACTGCCAAACTTACAGGATCCCTGTTGATGCTGGTTTGCGATACCTGTGTTAGACTGATGGCCGCTGAGGGCCAGTATGTCTCCGGTCTGTCCTCCACATCTCCTACATGGAGATTTCTGGCGTGAAGCTTAAGCTTGGTGGTGAAATTCTATGACTTTACTTTGGTGCATCGGCGGCGCTGTATGAGGCCCAGCAGTGAGACCACATGTGATGGCAGCCACAGCAGCCACGCCGCTTCGAACTCACTTACCGGTGGTTCGTCAAGAATTAAGGAACGAAATTTCGCGTAGGGATATTGGTCATGAAAAGGGACCAATTTCTGCGATGCGTTCCTCTGCCAGCTTAAAGGGTAGTAGATGAGACAATTGACTCCTCAAGTTACAGAGCAGCAAAGAGTCCTGTTCTGTTTCCACTGAGCTTCCTCCGAGTCCCCCGCGCTGGATGCCAGCCGTTTGTGCAGCATGAGTTGATGCGGAAAATGAGACCAGCACAAGCTGCGACAGTTGAAGTAATATGGGCACTTGCCGTTGCACAGCGCATGCGCTGAAGCACAGGGTGACGAATTGACAGGCCGTGCTCAGCGCCGGAGAAGATCTGCCAGACAAAGCCGATTCAGGATGCGGAGATAAAGCACCTTCATGTACGGAGCTACATTGCAAGCATCAGTGTTGCCAGGAGCCCAAGTCTGGATTCCAGCCAGGACCCACCAAGGAAGAGGTGCAATCCCAAAATTATTTCGTGGCAGCTCTGTGTAAGCCTTCAACATATGCATTGCAATCCTAGCAGTTCATGCGAACTCAGAAGAGATCATTGAAGTGACAAGATTCAGATACGCCGCGACCTCTGCATGGCGCGAGTCTGGGGTAATGGCTTCGGCGGACAGTGCGTGAGGCAGCGTGCTCACATGCGCTGAGCTGGTTTGTGCCACTACTGCACAGAGCAGTTGGCGTATTGCTTCAGGAAACCCTTGGGGAATGGTTTCGAATTCTGTGGATTCCACAAGGCCAGCGACTCTTCGTGAGGTCTTAGCGTGGGGTCATGCAATAGTCATGTGGCCTCAGGGTCGATTGGCACATGGCCGGGTCGATGGGGCCGTGCCTCCTGCCCATCCGGCACGGCTTCGGCTTCACCCAGATCATTTCCTTGAGTGTTTGACTTCAGATGTATTAATTCAAAGCAGAGCATGGTACGTTGCCCAAAGCCAGGAGAAGCTGAAGCAGATGCAAGAAGCTGTGCTGAAATCGTCTAAGGCAGCCAACGGCAAAGGCAAGCCTCAGTGTCTGGGGGTGTTAGGGATGCCCAGCTTGTCATGCCGCATCGTGCTTGGCAGGGCATGAGGCTCCATTGGAGCGTCAACCAAACACCGTAGCTCCCGCTGCACCTACTCGAGGCCCAGTGTTCTGCGAGCTCATCCCGAGTCCTGATTGCGCTTGCTATATGTGGTCCAAAAGAAAGGCTATGTACCAGCGGCAGCCCCTGCAGCCGCCGAAGCAGAGCAGCATTTTAGTTGGCTCTCCGATGGCGAGGAGGACCCTTCATTGGAATGCGAAGCATGTCAGCCCACCTGACTATGCTGACTGAAGGAGCCGTCGGCACGTCCATTTCCTCGGACGACCGGGAAGAGGAGCAGCCGTGTGTGCCATGCTGAACAGCATGACCTCAGCCTTTCAAATCAGGGTCTCGCACCCATAGCTGATGGACAACTTGATTTGCATTTGCTGGGTATCGTCAGAAGCTTGGCGCTGAAGTTTCAACCCAACAGAAACAGGAACGGAGAGCTGTCAGGATGCTGCCTCACTAATTAGCAAAAGCATTCGGAAATGTTCTGAACAACCTGGGGTAATATTGGGATAATGGAAAAGAAAATGGAACCTACTATACAGTATGTCGGGGTTGTATTTGTTGGATTAACTGTTGCCTTGATTGATCATAGGTCGAAGGCCAAGATTGCAAACAAGCGCTTTGAGCAGCTCTTGAGAAGGAGTCGGCGCCGCCACCGACGGGCTGAATACCTCTCAGGACCGTTGTGCTGACGCAGCAAACTTCAGTGAAAGAGCAACTGCGAATACTTGATGGGCTGCATTTCAACCTGCACCGCCTATTGGATCAAGTCGGAATGCAAGCACTTCCTTGAGTTGGAAATCCTTCTCCAGTGATACATGTCGGTGAGTGGCCGGTTCGGGCGCATATTGTTCGTGCTGGCAGCGGCTACGCTTCTTCCGGAAGGCTCCCCGGGTAAGGGGCTGGCAGAGGGTCTCC